CCCCCAGAGCAAGGCTGAGAGGCTCAGCTCCGTCTTGCGCTGCTTCCATTCCCAGCATTGCCAAAAACACATTTTTAACAGGAAAAAAAAAAAAAAAAAAGAGGAGCGGCTGGGGAGATGGCTCACGGGTCAAGACACTTGGCAGCGTGACAGCCTGAGCTCAAAGCCCTTGGGACCCACAGGAAGGAAGGCAGAAAGCCTCTCGTCTCCACATGAGCTTGTGCACATACACACACACGCACTGAATACTTACAAACCGGAAGGGAAGCCAGTGCCCGAGAACCAGCAGACAACATTGCTGGCTGGCCTTGCCTGGGCTGTTCCCAGAGATGATTCCAGCCCTGAGAGACAGCACTGTGAACTGTGCTTGCTGCAAAGGACTCCTGGAGCTCAGCCCTACACAGGTGAGCTGTCAAGTGTACACCCGAGGCCACCCCACAAGTTCTGGCCTGGGCGGTGGAAGTGAGGTGCTGGGTACACCACAAATGCAGGAAGGGGACTCGGGCCCAGGCACAGCATAAGGAGGCTTCGGCAGGTCACCTCAGACCCCTCACTGGCACAGACAGTAGCCACTGTAGCCTGCAGTGAGCTGGGGCCTTACCGAGGGCCAGCAGCAGGAAGCCTTGCTCACTTCTGGCCAAGAATGCCCCAGCCCCAGTCTTCTTGACAGAGGCTTTCCCAGGCTACAGGACCGAGGTCCCAACTGGGACGCCCACCCAGGTCTGCTAGGACTCCCTTCACATATGCAGAGCTGGCAGCCCTCACTAACTCTACAGTGTCAGATACAACCGTCACCTGAAGAAGGTTCCACCATCTTCCACCCTGTGCATGTCCCATGCAGCCATACTGAGGGTGACAGTCTGGGGCCTCTCCCACCACAGCCAGTGAGATGGGACCCAGGGTTCACAAGTGGCCCGGATGTGAACCTGGCCACCTCCAGATGCCCATTGAGATGGGAGTGTAGGCCGGAATGTGTCCTGGTGTCTGTCTCCTGGGTCCCTGAGGACTGTGCTCAGGTCCCTGCTCAGACTACTGCCTGGCCCACAGGAAGCATGAGGAGACACGCCAGGCTGTGTCTGCCACAGTCTGTTATGCAGCAAGAGCCAACGGAGAGGAACCAACAGGAGCGACTGCACATGGCCTGTGGACTCTGGTGTGGGCAACTGCTCTGCCTGAAATCTACCACCTACTGGCTCACCAGTGGGATGGCCCAGTGCCCAGGTAGATAAGGCTCAGAGAGGGAAGGCATAAGGTCACACAGCAATTTGCTTTCTGCTCCCTGTATGTCTTCCTCGGGCATCTGTATTGAAATCCTCTGTAGCTTGGGAGATGCTGGTATGCTTTGCCACACAAGCATGAAGACCTGAGCTGTAACACCAGCGCCCACCTGAAAAACTGGGTGTGGTAGCACATTCCTGTAAGCACAGCCGGTGCAGAGGGCAGAGGCAGAGGGACCCCTGGGGCTTCCTGGCCTCCTCTGCAGAAGTAAACTCCAAGTTCAATAAGACCCTGTCCCAGAAAACGAGGTGAACAGGACTAAGACGGCACCGACCTCTGGCTGTCACACAGTGCGCGTGCACATGCGCCTGAGCCCCACAACCCCCCAGCTCCCCACTGGGGCCTCACCTTATCCCTCACTGCAGGTAGCAGTGCATTAAAGCATGTAGCCAGGAAGACGCCACCCCCAAAGGTGTTACAGAGGGAGAGGACCTTCTTGGAGCGGTGGGCCTTCTCAGAGTCGGCCTCGATGACCTTCACAGGCAGCAGAGAGCCCAGCAGCATGAAGAAGAACACGCCCACCATGCAGAGGGCCTTGGCCACCAGGAGCTGCGTCATGGTGGCCGCCTGTGTCACACCGGTCTCGACAGGGCCAAAGAACCAACGGAGTCACACACCACAGCCTGTGGGGGCTACCGGCCCCAGTCGCAGGGCCAGACACGCATGGCTCTGCTCGGCAGCTGTGAGACAGGGAGGACATGGCAGCTGTGTGGTCACTAGTAGTGGTGGTGACGAGCCAGCCACCCTGGGCCCACTCCTCTGTCCACTCTCGGACTCACAGACATGGGAATACATGCTTGTGTAACTTAAGATGAGGACACAGGGCTGGGGAGGTGGCACAGGCAGGACGGGCTTGTGCTACAGTGTGAGGACCTCAGACAGGAGGCTGCCTGGGGCCTGCTGGCAGCCAGCCGCCACGAACCAGTGAGCTCCAGGTTCACGAGAGCCCGACTCTAGAACTAGGGTGGAAAGCAACTGAAGAAGACACTGGGTCTTACCTCTGGCTTTCAGTACACGCACACATTCACATACATGCACACACACATGCACAGGCTCACACACATGTGCACATTCACACACATGTGCACATGCACCGTCACACACACATGCACACAGACACACACTCACACATATATGCACATTCACACACACATGCACACAGACACACATTCACACACATGTGCACATGCACTGTCACACACATGCACACAGACACACACTCACACACATGTGCACATTCACACACACATGCACACAGACACACATTCACACATATGTGCACATGCACAGTCACACACATGCACACAGACACACATTCACACACATGTGCACATGCACAGTCACACACATGCACACAGACACACATTCAAACACATGTGCACATGCACAGTCACACACATACACACAGACACACATTCACACACATGTGCACATGCACACACACATGCACAGACACACATTCACACACATGTGCACATGCACATTCACACACATGCACACAGACACACATTCACACACATGTGCACATTCACACACACATGCACAGACACACATTCACGCAGGGCGCAGGGAACTGAATCCTACTTAGCACCTGGCTCCCTGCCGCCAGGCGCTCAGTCACTACCTGAGCTGGGTGGCTTCCAAGTTAAGCACATGCACGGGACGCTGTGGTTGTTGCCAGAACACTCTCGTGAGTGTTGCTGCCCTGACAGAGAATCTCAACCTGTTACCCCAAGGCTGCCTTCCATACCTGGGGTCAACTCAGCTCACACCAGCCTGCCAGAGTCTTGACTACCAAGACTGTGGCAGCCCCAGGGTTTTACACAGACCACTTCCTCTCCCTGGAACACGCCCACCCCACCCCCACACCCCTGGATCTTCCACCATGTACCGTGCGCCCAGCTGCATCCCTGGTACCCACCTTGAGGCTGGGAGCAGAGCAGGGGCAAGGTGACGGCTGGCTCAGTGGATGTGGTGGTCAAAACGTAGGGTTGTTCTCCTGCCTCACAAAGCACAGGCCATTAGGAATGAAGCCGCTTCCCTCTTGGCTGCTGTCAGCCCCGCTCACCCTCTGCAGTCACAGCCATCCTGTGCCCGCCTGGCCCTGGCCCTTCTACTACACCAGAAGGACTGTATATATCTGAGTTGTCCTGGGACTGTGGAGGTGGGGACTGGATCACAGGGACATGCTACCCAGCCACCCTGGCCCAGTCAGCAGCTCTAGGCTCGAGTGGGAGCCCCTGCTCACTATGTAAGCGGAGGCTGGAGGTTGATCAATGGTCAAAGCACTGGGTGCCTTTCCGGAGGAACTGGGTTTGGTTCCCAGCATCCAATGGTGGGCCACAACCACCTGTAACTCCAGCTCCTGGGGATCCAATGGCCCTTCTGGCCTCTGCAGGCACCAGACACATATGTGGTGCACAGCCATGAAAACAAGTAAAACACACATAGATGTAAAATTTTCAGTTATGGGAGTGATCAAAGGAGACACTGCCTTTAATGTCTGGTCTCCCACGTGTGCACACAGGGTCTGAAGGGATATGTGTGGGAGGGTGAGGCGGGACGATGGCCACACATTTGACACTAGCCTGGACACTGAGGAGACTCTACCTCAGAATAAAGTAATACAACAAAAAGTAAAAATAAAATTCAGTTAAAAATGGTACAAAGGAATAAAACAAAGCTCACAAGGTAAAGGTGCCTGTGCCAAGCTTGAGGACCCAAGGGAGATCCTGGGACCCACAGCTGTCTTCTGACCCCCACACCACCCTCCCCAGTAAATACGCAGACTTTTACTCCCAGCACTTGGGCGGCAGAGGTAGGCAGATCTCTGTGTTTGATGCAAGCTTGGTCTACAGACTGAGTTCCAGGACAGCCAGGCTTACAAAAAGAAACCCTGACTTGAAAAGAAACATAAATAAGTAAGTAAGTAAGTAAGTAAATAAAATAGTAGCCACAGAGGCAGCTCAGTAGTTGAGAGCACCGGCTGTTTTTGCAGTCGACCTGGGTTTCATTCTAGCCCGAAGGGATCTATTCCCTCTTCTGGCTACTTTGGGCACTACACACATGTGCATAAACACAGACACATACAATAAATTTTTAAAAAATAAATTTAAAAAATGAAAAAAAAAACGAAAGAAAATTAAGTGAATTAGGATGAAATAAATAACGTTAAAATTAAGTTAAACTTTAAAATTAGAATGCTGTAAAGGAATATTATAAAGGACATAATTAATACAATTTAAAAAAAAAAAACAAAAATAACTCCCTTAAAGTCCTTCCCTCCGCTGCTGTGAACACAAGGCGAAGTGCATACCATAGGCGCCGAATTGATGCTAGAAGACCGGGTGGGGCAGGGACACCACAGGTGCTTTCAGAATCGGGCCAGTCGGGCCAGGGCTGGCGGGGCGACAAGCTCGGTCTTTCCTTAAGCATTTATTGAGCGCCTACTGTGTGCTCCACGCAACCTCTCTCTCTGAGCAAGGACTCTGTGAACAGGCAGGCGCAGTCGGCCAGGCCCCCCTCGGCTCCGCCCTGTCACGACCCGTCCCCGCCACGCCCAGACCCCTCTTGTACCTCTGACAGCCCCTCGGGCCTCCAGCCAGTGCCACCTGCCGCCAACTGCCCCGCGATCCGGACCCTGCCGCAGCGGACCAGCAGAGACCCCCCGGGGCTGCGAGCCACTGCCTACGCCCCGCCCACGTCAGCATCTATTGGACATCGTCAGTGCCACTCGACAGAACTCACAGTCTATTGGCCGCAACTGCTGTCAATCATTCTGCAACGCCTACCGGCTCCGGAAAGCAGTTTTCTCCTTTCTAAACTTGAGTGGAGCTACCAAATGATTCCGATAGGAAACACGTACTTAGTGACATGGTTCCGGAAGGAGGGCCTAAATCTCGGAGCTGTCCAGGGTCGCGTGGTACTAAGTGAGTGTGGATGGAGGCTTGGCAGGAAGGGATTTCCTACAGCGAATGGAACATTCTTGAAGTCCTTCCTCGTAGCTTAAGAAGATGATACAGGCGTCCACCAAACATTTGTTGATAGCCAGATAGATTCAAGCTCAAGAGAGCTACTGTGCTCCTTAATCACTACAGTTAACAACAACTGTACCCATACCTGCAGCCCAGGAAGTGTCTCCTGAAGTGACATGGCACCTGAGTAGAACCTACAGACACCACACAGTATGCCTTATTTTTATATTCATTTATTTGTTTGAGCCACGGACTTGCTGGACATCCCAGGTTAGATGATATGCAGATAGCTCAGAATTCTCCTGCATCAGCTTCCCGAGTGCTTGGATTGCAGGTGTGAGCCACTATACCATACCTGGCCTCCTGCTGTGTCTAGAGTACCTCACACAATGCTATGTAAACAGTGCTATGCAAACAGTGGTTTTACCATGCTAGAGAACAAAAATTGCAAAGAAGCTTCTGTGTTCACTGCAGATCAAAGCTTTACAGAACATTTTTTTTTTTACACATGGTGATGTATGTCTGTCAACCCAAAACTCAGGAGGCTGGAGCAGAAGACCCATGTATTCCAGGACTGGCCTACACAGTGAGACACTGTATCAAAACAACCAAGCAAGGCACACTAACACACGAGGGTGCCCTGATGTGTGTGGCATGAGCTTCTTATATGTTCACTTATTTATTTGGTTGGCTGTCCTAGAACTCACTCTATAGACCAGGCTGGCCTCAAACTCAGAGATCTCCCTGCCTCTGCCTCCCAGAATGCTCAAAATAAAAATATGTGCCACCATTGCCCATCTTATTTACTTAGTTTTAAAAGATTTATTTGGTTTGATTTTATGTGTATGAGTGCTTTGCCTGCGTGTCTGCCTATGCGCCATGCATGTCCCTGGTGCCCAAAGAGGTCAGAGGAAAGTGTTGCATGCCCTTGGATCAGGGTCACAGGTGGTCCTGAGCTGCAATGTGTAAACCGAACTTGCATTCTCTGCAGGAGCGGCCAGTCAGCCCTCTTCACTGCTGAGCTACGCATCCAGCCCTCGTTTCTTTCTAATTGCTAAATGGTATTCCTTTGTCTGGATTAGTTAGATCTGCTTGAATGCTGCTGTAGAGGGGGTATTTCCAGATAAACGTCATTTTCTAGCAGATTTAAAGCCGTTGTGTGAAGGACAGTGAAGCCTAGGGACTTTCTCATCCTTGGCTAAAAGATAGTACAGGTGCACCCCTGTGTATCTGGTCAACAGAAACTAGTACATGTTCACCCAAAGATTGGGAGCAAATATGGCCCAAGTTCATCCACTATAACAAGCATCCTGGATGGATTAATTTTTTGTTAGTTTTGTTTTATTTGGACAAGATTTCTCTGTGTAGCCTTGGCTGTCATAGAACTTGCTTTATAGACCAGGCTGGCCTCAAATTCAGAGATCTGCCTGCTTCTGCCTGCCAACTCCTGGGATAACACAACCAACTTATCTTTTTTTTAAAGGCCTAGAAGAAATAATGACATATACCTGCCATCCTAACACTTGGAAAATTGAGGCAGGAAGACGAGGTCAGCCTTGGTTCATTCTTAAGGTCAAGGCCAGGCAAGACCACATGATGCCCTACAGGGAAGGGCTAGGGAGACATTGAAATGGGTCAGTGGGTCAAAGGAACTTGGCTCACAAGACTAGTGACCTGATTGCAATGCCTGGGACCATCCAGGGTTGGAAAAATAGGACAGACTCTGAAGTTGTTCTCTGCCCTCCGAACACATGACATGTTCACACAGGTGTCTGCACCCTCGCTGTGCAAACATACACGAAGTAATAAGAATTGCAATATTTACTTTGTAAGTGCTGGGATTAGCCAGGCATAGTAGTGCAAAACTTTTCTCCCAGCATTCAGGATAGAGGCAGGTAGACCTCTATGAGTTCAAGACCAGCCTGATTTAATAGCAAGTTCCAGGACATTCGGGGTTACACAGAAAGATTGTGGTAGTTTGAATAGGTATGGCCACCATACATTTATGTATTTGAATGCTTGGCCATAGGGAGTGGCACTATTAGGAGGTGTGACCTTGTTGGAGGAATTGTGGGGCAGGCTTTGAGGTCTCCCTGCTCAAACTCTGCCCAGTGTGGAATTTCAGTCTCCTCCTGGCTGTTTTCAGATCAAGATATAGAACTCTTGGCTGGTCCTCACCATGCCTGCCTGGATGCTGCCATGCTTCCTGCCATGATGATAATGGACTGAACCTCCAAACCTGTAAGCCACCCCCAATTAAAGGTTTGTCTTTATAAGAGTTGCCTTGGCCGGGTGGTGGTGGTGCACGAATTTAATCCCAGCACTTGGGAGGCAGAAGCAGGCGGATTTCTGAGTTGGAGGCCAGCCTGGTCTACAGAGTGAGTTCCAGGACAGCCGGGGCTACACAGAGAAACCCTGTCTCGAAAAACCAATAATTAATATTAATTAATATATATAATTAATATATACTGGAGTCTGCAAGCTGAAAACCCTAGGATCCATTGAGGAGTAGGTAGTGGAATAGTATGCAGCAACCAAAATGACTGAACAACATGCAGCTTGAATCCCTCCAGCCTTGTGTTAAGGGAACCCAAACACACAAGAGAATGCGCAGGGACTGTAACTCCAAAACATTCTAGGAAAAGGCAGAGCAAAGGAGAACATCCCACAGTGTGGCTGGGGCTGCAGAGGAGTTCAACTGTACAGGGTACTGAGAAGTCTGTGGCTAAGGTCACATGAATGTTTATCATCACGACCCCCAGAGGGACACAGCTAATAGTAACAGGAGGAAGGAGGCTTAGTCTAGCCACCAGTGAACACGCAAACTGTTGACCTTTTTTGTTTGAATTTTGGAATAGGGCTTGGGTCTGTAGGCCTAAGTTTGGCCTTGCAGTTTTGATCCTCCTGCCTCAGCCTCCCTAGTGCTGAGATGGTTCAGTAGTTTGGACCTTGAACGGAACGGGGAGTGCAAACCAGTCTCCCAACGGAGCTCATAGCCCTGAGAATGACCTTTCTGGCAGCACTGTGCATGTTCATCTGCAGGCCCCAGCTCCTGTAGGGAGTTTGTTGTCTGTGAGCCTGTGCCAGCCAGGTCCTGTCAGGGTCCCTCTGTGACTTGTGCATGGGTGGCCAGCTGAGCCACTTTAGGCTAGAGAGACGTTTTCTTTTCTTTTCTTTTTTCTTTTTTTGGTTTTTCGAGACAGGGTTTCTCTTTATAGTCCGGGCTGTCCTGGAACTCACTCTGTAGACCAGGCTGGCCTTGAACTCAGAAATCCGCCTGCCTCTGCCTCCCAAGTGCTGGGACTAAAGGCGTGCGCCACCACCGCCCGGCTCAAGAGACGTTTTCTTATTCCTGTAAGGATAACTTGTTCCAAGAGTGTAAGGCTCCTAACTGGACACCAGGAGTGTGTCTAGGATGCAGGCCCAATGGCTAAGCTGTAGCTTTGCCCATCAAGCTGGTCCTGATGCAGGACCAGGTGAGGCCTCAGGAAGCTGAGGTGCAGAGCCCCCTGCTGGCCACACTTGGAACAGCCCCAACCTCTCTAGGTTGGGTTCCTATTTTGAAACATTTTGTCAAGGGGGCAGAGACAAAAGGAGGCCCACACAACCGTTAACTGGTCTTTTTCTTTGGGCCAAGGCCTCACTATATATGTAGCATGGCTGTCCTAGAACTCACTATGTAGACCAGGCTGGCCTCGAATTCATAGCGATGCATCTGCCAGTGCCTCTCCAGTGTTGGGATTGAATTTATTTCCTTCTGCGCATGGGTGTTCTTACATGTTTGCACACCATTTGCAGTGCTGCAGGAAGCCAGAGGGGGCATCGCACCCACTGGAACTTACAGTTGTGAGGAGCCATGTAAGCACTGGGAACACAACCTGGGTGCTCTGAAAAGATGGCTCAGCAGTTAAGAGCACTGACTGCCCTTCCAGAGGTCCTGAGTTCAATTCCCAGCAACCATGTGGTACCTACCATCTGTAACGGGATCTGATGCACTCGTCTTCCACTACCTCTGGTGGGCTAAAGAGGTTGGAAAAATATGCCTAAAGGGATCTAAGTTCAAGGCCAGCCTGGTCTATAGAAAGTTTCATGAAAGGCAGGGACACGCAGAGAAATCTTAAGTCTTGAAAAACTAAATTCAACCCAACCCAGGGCTTCTGATATGCTGGAGATGGGACAGGTGCTCCAAGCTGTTCTAAGATGTCTGTGGCCCTTCCATCTCCCGGGCCTATACCCACTCCAGGAGGGGACTCCAGTGTCAAACAGCCAGGCATCCCTAGATAAGGCCCAGTGTCCACAACTTGTGCTCCCAAGGCAGCCTGTATCCCACTACAGGGACCCTCAAGGTGTCAGCAGAGAGGGATGTCACAAAGCTTTTAGGGCCTACACCATTCAAGTACAGAAGCATTTGCTGGGTGAGCCCATCTTGGCTAAGGGTGGCCTTGAACTCCTAACTCCCCAACTCCTCCTCCTGAGTGCTAGAGAAACTCACCTGAGCCCCTGACCTGTGTTGAGCCTTCTTGTGACTGTAATGCTGAATTTCAGCTGTGTGTGGAGACTCGGGCCTCTCATCCTAGCACTCAGGTTGCAGCAGGATTCCCCAGTTCATGGCTAGCCTGGGCTGTACATAAACAGCATATCTCAGGGAAGAAACCCAACTACTGTCAGGTCTCAAGGCTCTAGGCAGAGGCTGAACTGGAAGTCAGCGCTTGGCTTCTGTTGGCAATCCTTGAAAAACAGGATGCTGCTGGATTGAGTCATCTGGAAAGCCTGAGACACAGGCCACCTTTGAGAAACAAGGCTTCATTTGACTATGTTCTATTTCTTGCTTTCCCTCCCAAATAAAGATCTTCACATAAGTGGGTCGAAGTCCTCCAGCGTGGGCCAGCCACAACGACCAGGCTGGTAAGGGCATTTACCACTAACCCTGATGACCGTAGTCCCATTGCTGGGAGAGGACGGACCACACACACCCCCATGGTTACCATGGGGTAACAACCCCAGGGTTATCCACTCTGGAGACTGGTCCCAGAAGCTGGGGTCCCCCACACTGCCTGTCTCAGTGAGCCTGTGCCCTCAGCCACAAGCCCGCAGCCCATGACTTCCTGTCATCTACGGAAACTGACAGTAGGTCCCCACAGAATCCCATGACCCCTGCTGCCTGGCCCTCAGGTTGGGAGGGCAGGAACTTCCTTTCCCGTGCAGTGTCCAGGCTACAATCACTAGAGCCCACACCAACTGCATCCGAGGTCTTGTCACCTGTCCTGCATGCCAGACAGACTGCCCCACCCGCCATGCTGTGGGATCTTAGCTAGCTCTCAGGGCAGAGGGGCTCAGAGGCTGGCACGGAGAGCTGAGCATCATCACTGTCTTTATTCCCAAGGAAGTTTGTGCCCAAGGGGGCACTGCTGCCCTCTGGGCCCATCTTCCTACTGGCAACCTATGACACACACAGCTCTGACACTACCTGCCCCAGCCCGATGCCATCGTGACCCCCTGCCGGTTCAGCAGTCCTGTGATCTTGGGTGTGGGGATATCCACATCCTCACTGGACAGACTGACCGAACACAGATGGCTCTGGTGGCTGTTTCAGGGCTGATGGCACAACCCAAGGGCCAATACCCAAAGCTCCCTGCCACCCCCAGACACTGCATTCCCTCGAGGTCAAGGACAGGACGGGCACAGATGGGTTCATGTCCATGTGTGCCACCCAGGCTGATAATGGAGCCAGACTGGACACAAAACTAGGACTAGCTGATGCTGTGAAGACGGAGGAGCTGGGAAGACAAGACACAGATGGCCACATGCTGGGCAGAGGTCACAGGCCTCAGTTCTGTGTGGCACAGGACACTGGAATAAGGCAGGCCAGGGCACCTGTTGGAACCTGCAATCCAAGCGTAGGCGTGGGACGCTGGCACCCAGCTGGGGCTGGCAGTGGACACTTCCCAGGGGAATGAGAGTCAGCTACTCAAGTCCCTTAGGAGGGACCCGGTAGGGTGGGGCCTGCGACCCAAGGGCCCACTCCAACCCCTCCCTGCAGCGTCCCTAGGTGGCTGGAGGAACTGGTGCTGGTATGTAGGTAGTCCTCTGCAGACTCTTCCAGAAAGGTGTGCGGCCAGTAAGAATACAAAACACATAAGGAAAGGATGAAGACAGACACGAGGCGGGGGATGAGTCCGTCTTAACATGCAGGTCCAGTTTCTCTCTTGAGCTGCCCGACGGAGAAAATGCTAAAACACCAGGAGGCCGTGGAGCGAAGGGACCACTCGGGTCAGCTGCAGACAGAAGACAGGCAGTGAGTCATAGCCAGAAAAGGAGCTCAGCGAGGGACACCCAGAGGTGCCATGGCTTCAGTAAAACTTTTGCTATCTAAATGTGGTGGCACACACCTGTCATCCAGCACTCTAGAGGAGGAGGCAGGAGCATCAGGAATTTGGGAACAGTTTTGGCAACTTGAAACCAAAACAATACAAAACTGAACATCAGAACTGGTGAAGTGCACTCCGCCTCAGGAACCATTCGATAGTCAGGCAGTGGAAATGAGCTGCAAGTGCAGTGGGGGAGGTGGGACCACAGACAGGGTGTCCCTGGACACCGCTAGCCATACAAGAGGCTTGAAGCACTTAACACGGCTCTGGGCCAGAGAGTGTCAAAGGTGGTCTGAGGACCACCACTCAAGGCTGCCCATGGTCGTACATGTCCATGCACACAAACACATGAATACAAGAACAAAAACAGAGCTGGGGGCATGATCAGGGGTCCAGCTCCACCCCAAGTTCCCCCCTAGAAAAAGGCCAGGGGTGTGTTCAAGGGTTGAGTCCCCCAGAATCCTCCAGTGAGGGTCAGGGGTGGAGCCCTCGACATGAGGGGCTGGGAGTGTGGTCAGGGAGGAGCACCTGCACATACAAAGCCCTAGGTTCACCTAAAATGGGGCTGGAGAGATGGCTCAGCGGTTAAGAGCACTGACTGCTCTTCCAAAGGTCCTGAGTTCAATTCCCAGCAACTACACGGTGGCTCACAACCATCTGTAATGGGATCCGATGCCCTCTTCTAGTGTGTCTGAATAGAGAAGCAGTGTAATCACAAACATGAAATAAGTAAATGAAAATATTTTCTAAAATGACAAAATGGTAAAAGTGGGGTTCTGTACAGAAAGTCCCCCGTAGTTCTGCTGTGCTAGACAGATGAGGACAGGCTAGACATGGGTCTCACCATTGTCACTCTTGCTGTTCCTCGTGGCTGGCGCTGGGTGTCCGGCTGCGCACTACCTGGCTCCGGATTTGCTCCACGAACTCTGGGTTCTGCTGCTGCATCTGCTGTGCAAACTGCTGGCCCCTGCGTATACCCAGGAGACAGACCGTGCTGCCCCACTCCTCTGGGCCGCCTCAACCAGGCCATCCTCCCACTCCCTCCCCTCTGTCTCCCCTCCTGCGGGCCCCCTCGCTCACCCCTGGGTCATGAGTGCCAGCCCCTTCCCAGACACCAGTGCCAGCAAGAGGAGTACTCACGCCTGGATGAGGCTGGCCAGGTCACTCTGCTGCGGACTGCTGCCCGGAGTGCCCAGAGGGTTGTGGCCTCCGGAGATCATGCCCGACATACTGCAGGAGAGAGAACTGAGCCGGTCACAGCCACGGCCTCCACCTCCGTGACCCACAGACAGTTCCCAGCCAGCCCCACTGTCATGCCCCCTTCTTTCTCAGTTTCTAAGCTGAGTCAGTCAACATGTGGTAGCCATGACTGGCACCGTGGGGAGTTGCCAGAAGTGAAGGAGACCTTGGACACCCCGTGGAGAACAAGCCAGGGTCACCAAGGCTGGTGTTGAGAAAATCCTGTAAGGCTGGAGAGGAAAACCTGCCCCTGCTTCAGCGAGGCGGAGCTGCCCCTGGTCCAGCAGGAGCTGCCCCAGGGCTCTCAATCTGGGAATAAGACCAGCGCCACCATGTTCACAGTAGTCAGGACAAACAGTTCATGACACAGCCCCGAACAGGAACATGGCTCTGACACACACTGTAGCTCAAAGGGACACCAAGAATGCTGTATCAAAGCGAGAGGCAGGCCCAAAAGGCCTGAGTACCATAAGAAATGTCCACAACAGGGCAATGTAGAGACATAAATTTGTGGCTGTTGGGATCTGGGGAGTACACAACAGCTCATGGGACAGAGGCTCTCCAAGTAGACAGCAGACGCAGTGCGAAACGCCACAGTGTCACTCCACAGACATACTAAGCAACTGCACCCACGTTCTGAGCTCTAGGCCAGCCAGACGTACTCAGTGGGAACCTACCTTAAAACGTCAATATTAAAAAAAACTTTGGCTTTTCTCTCATCAAAATCAATAAAAAAAACCTAAGAATTAATAACTAAATAGGAAAGGGGTCTGCAGTTAGAGCTCGGGCTGCTCTCGGCAAAGACCAGGCTCACGTGCCCCACAAGGCGGTCACGACCATCTAACTCCAGCTCCAGGGGCCTGATGCCCACATCTGGCCACACCGGGCACTGCACACACGTAGTACACAGACGTACACACAGGCAAAACAGCCACACACATACAGGAAAAGTTAGAGAAAATAGACAGTTTGTGCTGTGGACACAGAGGCCCAGAGCGGGTCACTTACAGCTGCTGCAGCTGCGGGCTGTTCATTAAGCTGGAAGCCTAAGAGAGCAGAAGACACAGGCAGGCGTCAGGAGCCTCCCTGGGCAGACCCAGACAGATACACCCTGGGCAGCTGTGCTCTCTGCTCCTGCTGTCTTTCGAGGACACTAGTTCCTTCCTCTGCAATGCTGAAGTGGGCTCTGGTCCTCACTCCCCCCATTCTCTCCCCCCCCCCCCAACAGGGCACCAGAGCTGTGCCCAAGCCCCTGCTGTGTCAGACAAGGTCAGGGTACCACCCAGGCTGGTCTGAACTGGCCATCCTGTCTCAATGCCCTAGTGGCTCACAGGCTGTACCACCGTGTCTAGCTGAATTCAGCCTTGCAAACAGCCCTGTTTGCACCCTGGGGAGCCCTGGACTGTGCAAATGATGCTTCGGCCACACCTGCAGCTGGCAGAGAAGGCTAGGTGTGGTCCCACCTCCTAAGGACGTGCCCATAAAGAATGGTCTGCTAGTCCTGCTCTAGAAATAATGCATTCAGCAAGGACGCCAACCAGCTCCTTCCAGCTGATGCTGTAGCACCAGCGTACAGTGCAGAGCACAGTGAGACGCCCAGGGACATCTCACACAGCGGTGGCCTGCAGTGGGGCACCTGATGCTCACTCCTTGTGATGTTCACTCCCTGTGGGCAGACTTGCGGCAGGACCCTGGCCGGGTGGCAGGGAGTGGAGGGCGCACCTACCATGGTGATGAAGTGGGGGTTGCTCAGAAGGCCAGCGATGTCCAAGCTGCCCACGCCGCCCGTCTGCAGGAGAAGCATCAGTTAGTGCTGTGTGGAGCCAGGTTAGCCTCTCTGGGGGAAGATGACTGGCTGCACCCTCAGGAAGCCCTACACTCCCTCAGGGAGGGTGCTGCCAGCAGGTCCCAACCAGCCTGCCAGTCACTGTGAGCACTCTGGGCAGTCTGCACCATGTCTGTGACCATCACACCTATTACCACGTCACAGACCACAGAGGGTCTCTGCTGCGTGTCCCCAGCTCCGTGACCCACATGGCCCAGTGCTGCCCTGCATCTGAGGACCCATGATTAGACATTAGACTCTGAACATCACCCTGGCCTCCATTCTTTTTTTTTTTTTTTCGAGAGAGAGGGTTTCTCTGTGTAGCCCAGGCTGTTCTGGAACTCACTCTGTAGACCAGGCTGTCCTCGAACTCAGCCTGCCTCTGCCTCCCAAGTGCTGGGATTAAAGGTGTGCACCACCACCGCCCGGCTCCTGGCCTCCATTCTAACCACAGCCTCCCAGGCATCCCAGCCCGGCCTCCCATCACCCCCCTCTTGAAAGAGGGCTCACGGGGCTCGGTGCCTCCCGTAACTTCAGCTCTGCAATCTTGAGGTTGGACTTGTACGTGTCGTTGTCAGGGTCCAGCTCCAGGGCCTTCTTGTAGTACGCCACAGCCTCAGCATGCTTGTTCAGGCTGGACAGCGCAAGGCTGGGGACAAGAGTACCAAGAGGGCCACGAGGGGACCCGATCAGGACCTGGTGCCACCCACCCTGTCCAGACTGGGAAAGCACTGAAGTCACGTGAGAGGACAGAGAGCCATGCAGGGGAAGGGCCCCACGCAGGGGAAGGGCCCCTCAGCCGCCCGCTGCACTCACCCCATCCGGCCATAGGCCTTGCTGTACCCAGGGTCGATGCCAATGGCGCGCTCACAGTCCTGCACAGCCCCCACGTAGTTCCCCAGTTTGCTGTAGGCTGCGGCTCTGGGGAGAGGGAGCTGTCAGTAGGGGACTCCACAGGAGGCCTCTCTAGGAGCTGGTTTGTGGCAGGAAGGCGGACTAGGACCACAGAGGCTCAAAGCCGACACAGGCCTTGGCAGGTTCTGTGAAACCATGTCCCAAACTAAACCAGGCTGAAGGAGATCACGGCAGCTCAAGAGCGGCCTGCATGTCAACCAGAGACACAAGGACAAGCTCGACTGTGCCGTCCTGTCTGTCTGCTGGGCTGGGCTGACTACATAGCTCAGGGCCCTGTGTGAGCATCATGCCACCTCAAAATGACGCCGAACCTGACCGCTCTTCATGCAGAGCTGTAGGTCATCACGCACAGTCCATACCCCAGCCCACCGCCCGCCCGCCCGCCCGCACCTGTTACAGAAGTAGACGGCATTCGCAGGGTTGAGCTCAATGGCCTGGCCATAGAGGTGCACGGCCGCCTCAAAGTTCTCCAGCTTCATCTGCTCATTACCTGCAGAGGGACAGAGGGGAAGAGTCCAGGCTGGCCCATTCTGCTGCAGGCTGCCCATACACCTATCTTCTCTGGTCTAAGATTCCCAAAGAGAGATCTGAGCCTCAGGTCAGTCACACTGGGATGTTTTTTCAGGTGAGGGGTGATGCATCTGAGGCCATCCTCCTGATCCTCCTTGCCTCCACCTCCCCCATGTGGGATGACAGATGTGACACTAAGCCAGGTGAATGTGGTACTGGGGACAGATGCTAAGTTTATGTGTGCCGAGGACATGGTGGTCCACTGCAGCATCTGGTGACAATGACAAGAATCCAGCTTACACAAGCTTGTTTTCCAGCCAAACACATCCCATGCAGAGCCATGGACAGGGGGGTCAGCCTGGGTTAAATGCCAAGACCAGCTGCCTCCGGGAGTCAGACCTGGCCTGCAGTGAAGGGCTGGGCTCTGCCTGAGCACGGGTTTGGCGGGTTTACTGAGCTCCATTATCCACACAGGCCTGAAGCTGGCTGTCTCCTCCTCTGGGTTTTTGAGACAAGGTCTCACTATGAAGTCCTGCCTGTCCTGGAACTCACTCTGTAGACCAGGCTGGCCTCAATCTCACAGAGATCCTCCTGCTTCTGCCTCCCAAGTGCTCGGGTTAAAGGTGTGCGCCACTGAACCAGGCTCTTTTATTTTTTTAAAATACCTTTTTTGTTTTGTTTTGGGAACAAAGTCTTATGCTGGAGCTCTGGGTGTCCTAAATGCACCGTGTAAATGGGGCTGGGCTTCAACTCGCAGAGACTTGACTGACTCTGCCACTTTAAAACTGGATAAAAGCCGGGCGGTGGTGGCGCACACCTTTAATCCCAGCACTTGGGGGGCAGAGGCAGGCGGATTTCTGAGTTCAAGGCCAGCCTGGTCTACAGAATGAGTTCCAGGACAGCCAGGGCTACACAGAGAAACCCTGTCTCGAAAAACAAAACAAAACAACACAGAGAAACCCTGTCTCGAAAAACAAAACAAAACAAACAAACAAACAAAAAAACTGGATAAATATATATTATTCTGAACGGGGTATGTGAGTGTGTGTCTGTGTGTGTGAGTGTGCAAGTGCAATGTCCACAGATACCAAAATAGGGCACTGGATGCTCCAAAGCTGGGCGTAGAAGCAACTGGTAGCTCACTGCCTAACAGTGTGCTGGAAGCCATCCGAGGAGCTGGCCTGGGCTGCATCCCTTCAGCACTTTGTACAGGTCCCATGGGGACACGTGTCTCCCTCACCTTCTGTTTTGAGGCGCTCTGCCTCAGCTGAGTCCTCCTCAGAGGGTGGTGTCCTGTCAGGGCTCCTCAGGTCCTGTGGCATCTCCTGCTAGGGGTAAAACAATCCCACTGTGCCCTGCCACACCTGCCCTTGCAGGATGCCACACAGCTCAGAGCACTGTCAAGTCTCAGCACAGGACGGCCGGAACCCGGTGAAGTCCAAACGCCCATGCACACTGCCATCGTGGGCACAGTCAAGGGAAGCCCAAGCTCACCTTGCTGGCAGTGGCTGCTTCAAATATCTCTGGCAGGGTCTGGGGGAGAGCAAGGTCACTGTCCTCCAGCGTCACCCCGAAGGCTGTCTCCAGACACTGGATGGCAACTGTGTGGAATACGAGATAAGCCACCTCACTGGAGCCCGAGGGAGCCCTGGCATCTTCTATTGTTCTTGAGATAAACTCTCTCTCATGTAGCACTGGGTGCCCTTGAACTCTCTACATAGCCAAGCATGCCCCAGAGACCCTGACCCACCTGCACCACTTTCTGAGTGTGGGGATAACAGGTGTGCACTATCATACTTGGTTTGAGTCCGGACTTCACACCAAATCCCAGCCTAGCCCTCATGTGTCTCCAAATGGGCTGTAAGCACCTGGCCCTGTACCTCAGTCCTTCAGTCACCTCCAGTCAGCCTCTCAGACACACTAGTCTGCTCCTGACAGCAGGAGGCAGGCACACGAGGCCTGAGGTCGGTGTGCCCTCAGTCCTGGGGCTTGGTCTGACCTGAACTATCAGCACAAGGCCTGAAGTTTGGGAACAGTGCAAGCCACTGTGGCAAGGCTAGTGTCCCTAGACCCAGGGCAGCCATCTTTCTCTGAGGTGAGATCTGCTCTGTGGAGCTGCAATTCCTGGAGACAAACAGCCATGCTGCAGGGAAGCTGGCTAAGACAGAAGTGAGAAGCCTCTAAACAGACCAGACGCAGGAGGCCCTCTCACACACATAAGCAGGAAGGAATGCTCTTAGTCTCAGAAGGGCAGAGTTCCGAGAAACTGCCCCACCGCCTGCAGGCTGTGAGCTGTGCTCCAGGGTTGGGGCTTGGGAGCTGCCACCCATGCTGGGGTGGACTCTGGTGTCACATCGGTCTTTGAGTGGTTTCTGCTCCTGTCAGTGACCCAGTAGACTGACTGAGTGGCTGACTAAGCTGGGCTTTGGCGCTGTCTGTGTTTTGGTTTATCCCTGTCTGAGGCAAACGCACTTGTCATGTCTCCCAGGAACAGTGCTACACAATGAGGGAGGTGCCAGCCATGGCCTCAGCAAAGGAGGCCCACACAGGGGCCCACTGGCTACTGAGGCAGCCCCCAGCAACCACCGTCCTGTGAGACATGGCCCGAGGAGTGTGAAACCGTACCTCCACTGCCAACAGGGAACTGGGGACTGTCTACAGCCAGAGAAGAGCAGCAAGGGGAGCGAGGGCACCAGCGGCGTGTTGGACATCTGCCACTCCATCATGAGCCAAGGAACGGTGCAGATGCCAGGCCGGGCGTGCGTGCTGGCTGCCTCCCACATCTCTGGTGTCCCGAGCCCTGGCAGAGGCTGGCAGGCAGCAGCCCACACTTACCCTCTAGGCTCTCCTGGGCGTCAGACGAGAGCCCACCATGCCGCAGCTGGCCATGCAGGAACTGGATGATGGCATAGGCCAGGCGCTTCCTGTTGTCCATCTCAAGGCTGGGGAAGTGACAATGCTTGTTCAGGATCTGTGGGGACAGCCCAAAGGGTCAGGTGAGGAGCCAGAGAGAGGGGAGATCTGTCCCTGACCTGGTACCTGACCACTACCAGAAATGATCCAAGAGCGTCGGTCAGCTCTAGTGTCAGGGCCGCTGTGCTGGTCAGCTCTAGCGTCAGGGCTGCACCTCAGTTCTCAACACCCACAGCAGCCTCAGCTCTTGCCCCGGGGATCTTACACCCTCTGCCCTAGACACAGGCACACAGATAAACAAGCTTTTAAATCCAGCAGAGGCCACGGGGTGCTGCTCAGCCCCTAGTTCTAGTCTAGTATGTACCAACTTTGGGGCCCTATCCTCAAAACATTAATATAATGAAGATATTTCAGACCCTCCCCCACGGGACCACTGTATGAAGACAGAGACGGGGGTGGGCCTGCAATAGCCGCTCCCCTCAGAAGCCACCACCCAAGCTCTGAGAGTCCAAGAGTGAATTCTCTCCTTCACCCAGAGGAACCTCTGTCCTCCTGTCAGCACCAAGGGGCAATGATCTACATTAATTCAGCCAGCTGAGACCTGGCCTCAGGGTCCGGACGGACGGACAGCTGGACTAGCAGGGACATAACCTAGGGGTCAGATGAGAGGAGTGGGGTCAAGTCAGAGGCCAAAGCTGGACCTTCAGCTCCTCCGAAAGGAAGTCTCTCCACACAGCATCCACTGCCATGTGCCTGCCAGTCATCTCGGACTTGCCTCTCATCCCAGCACTCTGCACCTGAGGCAGGGGGACAACAAGCTCTAGGCTGGCCTAGACTATGGTGAGACCTTGACTAAATAAACAAATAAATGAATAAAAATAGGACCAGCAGGCTAGAAAGGGGGTTTAGTGGGTAAGTGAGCTTGTCCCAAGTCTGGCAACATGGCTCCATCACTGGGTCCCAGACGGAGGACAGAGCAGACTCCTGAGCTGTCCCCTGACCATCACGGGGACAGTGCCATGACACTCACACACGCACACAGACATAAACAATAACTAGGGCTGGGAGATGGCTTAGAAGGCACAGTGTTTGCTTTGCAAATGTGAGGATCTGCGTTCAAACCCTGGCACCCATGTGTGAAGCTAGGCATGGTAGTACGCTATAACCCAGGGCTGGGTTAGAGACAGGGAACCCTGAGTGATGTCTGACCAGAGAGCTCCCGGTGTGCAGTGAGCAAAGATCAGAGACGCATGCCCCACCAGACAACACCTGACCTCCACGGAGGACATGGAGGTCCTCTGGGGGAAGGGGTGGACCACACTGTTGCAGTACCAAACCTGATGTGCACGTCCTCTGTGACAACACAGGTCTGTGGGCCAGCCACTGGCAGGCACTGTCACCACTCGAAAGGGAACAGTGGCCCTGACAAGACCCCATCCCACCCAGCTGTGAACCAACGACACTCTGGGCCATGAATCGCCTCGCTCGGGGGTGTCCACTGGCCTCCCTCTGCAGTCATGAGGCCCAGTTCTCACCACAGGCTTGCAGGGGTTGGGAGGCTTCTGGCTAAGAGACAAGGCCCTCAAAGGCCTATTATCTCAGAACAGTGGGAGCTTTGAGTGCAGCTGCCCACCACCCAGGCATGGTCTGGTCTGTGGGGCACAGGGGTGAGGGAGCGGCAGGACCCAACCCCAGAGTTCCTCCACCCCTCGCTGCTGTCTGCACACCTCGTTCCCTCTCGTTCTTTCTGACACACAGTGATGCCACTCAGCCTCAGAGTCACTGTCCCTTGCCTTAACCCAGCTTACTCCCGGGAGAATCAAACTCCCAACCTTGGGACAGGCAAGGTGCCCAAGTGGGCAGGTGGGAGACCCTCATTCAGATCTCCTGCACCCACCCAGTACACTGGCTGTGGTAATCTTGGCGCCAGGTGCATGAGTGGAGACAGGAGAATGGCTGGGTTTTGCTGGCCACCAACCTAGTTCCAGGGTCAGAGGTGCCCTGTCTCAGGGAGAGGCTGGAAAAGTCTGAGGCTAGCTCAACAAGTCAAGTTCCATCCTAGCTTGTGCAAATCCAAACCCAACACAGCACAGCTCACGAGTGTCCTTACCTAGGCCTGTGACAGCTCACAAGTGTCCTTACCTAGGCCCCTGTCCAGGACAAAGAAGCTAAAAAGCCAAGTGAGGCCACACAATGAGGGCTTTACTCCAGAGACGCTGCAGGCCCTGCCTCTGCCTGACTGCAACCACCCAGCCTCCCTCCATCCACAACAGCTCTGCAAATCACAGTCCGTGTCCACCTTCGAGGCAAGCAGATGCCACAGCACACAGACCTCAAAGACCTCGGCAGACCCTACATGTGCACTTGCTGTGAGGACAGAGGGAAGGGCACGCCAAACCTTCCAAAGTTCAAGGCCGGCCTCCTCCTCCCCTGACACCAGATAAAAACCTGAGAGCTACACCCCCAGTCCTACCCTGCTCCCAAACCTGAGACAGCCTCAGGCCTCGTTCAGTCTTCGTACCCCAGACCAGAGCGCTCTGGACAGCCCGAGCCCCAGGTGCCATCCACACCACAGTGCTGGCGAGTTGAGAAGGCAGGTCTCTAAGCCACGCCCACAGTCTCCAAGCAGAGGCTGAAGCTCGGGCACTCGAGGGTGCTGCTCAAAGCTGAAAGCCAGCCTGAGCCTGCACTGCACACTGAGTGTGTCTCAGAACACAGAGCAGGTGGCAGGACAGCTCACTGCTCAGGAGCACTGCTGCTTTGCCAGAGGGCCTGGGTTCGGTTCCCAGCACCTAGATGAGTCACTTACAACCCCTGGGCTCCAGCTCAGAGGACCCAGCCCCTCTCCTGCCCCACAGGTTCTGTGGGCTCCAGCTCAGAGGACCCGGCCCCTCTCCTGCCCCACAGGCTCTGTGGGCTCCAGCTCAGAGGACCCGGCCCCTCTCCTGCCCCACAGGCTCTGTGAGCTCCAGCTCAGAGGACCCGGCCCCTCTCCTGCCCCCACAGGCTCTGTGCGCCCACGAATGCACTCGCAAACACACGCACACAATCAGGAATAAATCTTAAAACAAAAAAATAAAACACAGCATGCCCACACATACCTGTCATCCCAGAACTTGGGAGGCTTAGGAATTCAAGGCTAACCTCGGCAGGGCGGCTGGTATGTGACCGGAGGTGACAGCTGGGAGTCACGCTCGCTGCCAGGAAGCGCTATGATAAACCTTTGGTCTGAATCCTTGGAAGGATCAAAGCTCCTGGCTCCCCACACTCAGGAGCAGGATCACTTCAGGGAACGCTCTAGACACACAGACAGCAACTGAACCCCCAGCCCAGCCAGGCCTGACCATCAGCCGCCACCCAGCACATGGGAGGCCGAAGCAGGAGGACTGCCACAAGTATAAAGGCAGCCTGGGCTACAGACTGTCTCTGCCTGTCCCCGCAACCTCTCAACTTTCCTGGAGGTCAGTGCAGCGCGCGCTGGGCTTGGTCACAGAGTCCAGCTCTGTTCTGAGGACTCTGGAGAAGCTGCCTGGGCCAAGTCCCAGTGGGCTGAGTGTCCCTCAGCACACAGGAAGCCCTGGGATGCAGGAGACAAAACAAAACCCCAGGAAGGCTTGGAACATAGCTCAGCTGTGGAGCCAACACCTCGCCACGAAGCACCACCTCAGACAGCGGCTCTCCAGGGTGCACAGTCCAACAGGCAATCCCTTACCACACGAAACGGGGTGCACACACAATCTTGGGACCCACACAACTTACACAGAGGCCTCAACGGTAAGGAGCCACTGGGCTTGGGTTGCATTTTAACACCAGCACTCAATATGAACCGCTGGTTAGTCTCAAATTTAGGGCAGTCCTCCCATGTCTGCCTCTGGAGTGCTACAATTACAGGTGTGCTTCATTATCAGGTACAGGAGCGCATCAGTGTGTGTGTGCATGTGTGTGTGGCTATGTGAGTGTATAGTGTGTGTATGTGAGTGTGTCTATGTGAGTGTGTGGTGTGTGGTGTGTCTGTGTGTGTGTCTATGTGAGTGTGTGGTGTGTCTGTGTGTGTGTCTATGTGAGTATGTGGTGTGTCTGTGTGTGTGTCTATGTGAGTATGTGGTGTGT